TCTTCTTGCCGTTAGAATTGTTTTGGTTTTAGTTACATTGTTTTGAATCTTAATTAGGATACATTGTAGCCTAGTAAAGCATGAAAAGACTAGAAAGGAACAAAATCAACTTAGTAGAGACTTCCATTAAAAGGCAACAGAAAGAGCTGAATATATTCAGTTTCATAATCCCCTAAAACACGCCAATCTGTAATCACTTAATATCTCGACTAATGATGCTGTTAAAATGCGTGGTAGCGTGCGTTCCTCAGTTTAAATAGTCTCGTCCTCTAGCATTGCTGTCATGCTGCGTGAGCCTGAGACAAACGTTACGACAATAAAAATTGATGTCAAGCACATGATGCCCCATCGAACTAAGATAATGAAGGCTTTGTATGGACGGTCTGCCAAAAAAAAGGAAGAAAATTAGTGTTACCCCATAAGGGTGAACAATCTTCAGGGTCACATTTCGCTCGACGAGACAAATATCTTTTCACTTGAATGAGACACCTGCGTACTTTCACTTAAAAAAAAAAAAATTTTAATCTGCTTTGTCCCCTTTGCAGTTTCTTTGCATTCGGTGTTCAAACAGATTTTTTTCTGTTTACTTTCCCTCTTGTTTTGGAATTTTCTTCAACTTTCAATCACTAAGTTTGCAATTGCCGCAAAAAAAAAAATAGAAATCCGCAAAATCCATTGTAGCGAATGTAACACCTAAGCCAAATGAATTATACTTCATTTTGACCTGATCTAATTTGGATAAATTCAGTTTCATCCCGGCCGCGACCTCAACAATCCTTCGACACTGAAATAAAATTTCAATTAACAATTGGTTCATACGTCAGCTGTGCATTCATCGAGATATAAAGCACGCAGGAAGTTTGGAGAGCACTCAAGAAGCTAGAGTTACTCTCGGCTACGCCTCGAGCAACCCTTACGCATCTTTCGTGCTCTCCAAACTTCCTGCGTGCTTTATATCTCGATGAACGCACAGTTGACGTATGAACCAATTGTTTGATAACATTTTCAACCCGATGGAAAATTTTTTTTCTCGAGGGATTTGTTTGCTGACGTCATGAGCGTGCACAATAGGAATATAAAGCACGCTCGCGCAATTGAATTTGATTTGACAAATTTACCAGCTATGTTATAAACCTGATTGATATTTATAAAAAGAATAAGTTTATCTTGGTTTTTACCGCGATGCACGACCGGATTTACCTACACTTCATTTATTTTTGAGAAAAAGGAAGATTTATAACAAGAAAAGAGAAAAAAACAAAACAAACACAAAATACTCATTTCTCGGTTAACTAGTCTTAAAGTATTGTTTTGCATATCCAAACTACTCAAACTTGTAGTTAGAGTCTCCTGCATGTTGAAGATTGACCTGCATTTTCAACTCTTCTCATATCTTTTATCATCTTTGGTGTATGATTAACAAATGAAGAAAACCAAACTCTATTAACAGACACCATGTTCAAGCTCTCCGTGTCAAAACGAAGGAACTTGCGTTCCAAATTATGAGGAAAATCAATATCACTGTGGCTGTACACCCGGTTACCAAGGAAAAAACTGTGAAACAGGTAAGTCAGTGACAAGTTTTCCCTTTTACATAAAATGAAGCAGTCACGTTAAACTTACAATGAAATCATTGTATTATATATACGTATCAACCAAAAGCTCGGTCAAGGCCATCCCAGAGTCTGCTATCTTTTATTGCAGATATCAACGAATGTTCCAGTAATCCCTGTCTAAACGGAGGGACGTGCGTTGATCGGGTTAATGGATATGTTTGTAACTGTCAGCCTGGATACAATGGAGTTCGCTGTCAAACTGGTGAGTGACTACTTCCTCTACCACCTCTAGTTAGCTCTTGCATGGATTACATCATACGGTAACTGAGATACAAGCGCAGTCTGATTGGTAAAAAAACAATCATAATTCGTTTTACTGGCAAACAGCTAATATATATATATATATATATATAGATATATATATATATATAGATATATATATATATATATATATATATATATATATATATATATTATCTGTACTGAGACCACGAGATAGCACTTTTCTCAAGCAAGGATATTGTAAAAAGCAATGTAATATACCATTTGCTAAAAGAGCTGATGTTTAAAATTGCGTGAACTGATTTCATTTTCATCTCTATCTGAAACGATGTCTATTACTTAACTACATTATCGATGAACCAGCTGCTCTTATCTCACCATTTCCAAAAATCTTTCTCTGAACAGACATCAACGAATGTCCGCCATTTTTACCCGTACAAACGCAAAGCTTAGCAACGGGTTGCGCTGCCTCTTACTCATGCACTCACTCTGTTTACGCAATCCTTAGCAATGTTGCAGAACGAATTGAAGCTGAAGGAATAAGGATTTATGCAACTCAAAATATCACCCCGGCACAAATCTATTGAATATTTGGATGTTTTAATTTTTTGTTTAAACCTAATGACTGAAAAACTATTTTTATTGCTTTCAGCATTACGCTCATGCAACGACGTGTACCTTTCTCGGTAAGTTATTAAGTTGCATCCTTTTACCATTTTATGATTTGATGCATTTTTGAAAACTTTCATTGAAGAACATGATGATCTGGATGAGTTTGGTAATGAGTTTTCATGTAAAAGACATAGAACGGATTTTTTTTTCCACACTGAAATGCATAACTAAAACAAAAACAAATTGCGATTTAAAAAACCGGTGGTCTGGGAAGCAACAGAACTAAATCATAGATCGTTACTGGATAAGCATACTCATGTTCTGCCCTGATTTGATTCTTTGATTGAGTTCTTCTTTTTCAAAGGTCAAATGCTTCCAGTCAACGATATTCACTCTTCGTTGGAGGACAACTGACCTCTGTGTATTGTCACATGGGGGATTTTGGGTGTGGCGGTGGTGGCTGGACAACAGTTATAAAAATGGATGGTAATAAGGTAAGCTGCACAAAGAAAGATGTTATTCATTTTATTACCCCTCGCCGGGGTATAATTTCCCACAAAAGAACTGGTGAATTACAGAGACCTCAATGGTAAGTTAGACAACAAGAGAGTAAATTTTGAGCTTGGTTATCGCAAGTACACTGTATTAGCTAATAATATAGAGGTTGAAGTTCAACTTTGCTTCCGAACGATTTATAGCGAATTTTGCCCATTTTTCTTTTCGTAACAAGCCGGCAAATCAAGCATATACTTTGCCCCTTCGATCGTTAACTAAAACACCTTTTTTCCTCCCTTTTTTTGGTTTTTGGCTTTTTTGTTTGTTTGTTTGCTTGTTTTCGTCTGCTTTTTTTCCATTGTTGTATTTTTTTTATGCTTTTCTTCATTTTGTTTCTTTTTAAGCAAACTTTTCACTTTAACTCTTTATACTGGAACCTCGCAAATGAGTACAACCTTGCCGGAGGAGAGACTGGGTTCGACTCGCAAGAGACCAAGTTACGAACCTATTGGAACACGCCCTTCAACAAGATTTGTCTCGGAATGAAGATCGATCAGCAGAAAAAATTCATAGTGCTAACCGAGCAGGCCAGTTCATTGTATTCACTGATTGCTGACGGAACTCATCGCCCCACATCATTGGGCCGTAGCGCATGGTTATCGCTTATCGGTGCACAGGCTTCGTTACTACCTAATTGTAACAGAGAAGGATTCAATGCGGTCAGCGGTCGTTCTGATTTGGGCAAAGCTAGAATTGGTATTCTTGGTAACAATGAGAACGACTGCTACACTTGTGATAGCAGAATCGGATTTGGTACGGGAGGGTTACATGAAGACAACAATACATGCGGAAATGGTGGCGCTCAAATCAGAGCTATGGGATACATCTTGGTGCAATAATTAATCATCTCTTCTTCTTTTTATTTTATTGTTACATAAAAGCTTCTTAACGAGTTCAGGCATAACAGTAGTTGGAAAGTTTTTCTTGGCAAAGGGCAGTTAACAAATTTATTTATCTCGTCGCCGAATAAGCTAAATTTCTTATCATTTTTCTTCGCGATGTTTATTCTGTAATCAGCTGGTTTCTGGAGGCGTGACTTTGATCTTTCAAGCGTAGGGGAGTTCATGCTTACGAGCTTTCGTTTTTCGTAATGTATCAGCGGGCTCGTATTCAAGTAGAGAGAAAAACTGTTAAATAAATTTTTTAGTACTGGAAAAGACTGAAAACATAAACATTCTTCGGATTTGGGTGGCGCACCTTTGCAAACCAGAAACAAAAGGAGTCGCATATTATTTATTTCGAAGAATTATTTTAAGAGTAGTTATGTCGCATAGCAAAGTCAGGGGCACCCAAGTGCCCCTCTCCAACGATCTAATCAGACCTTGGTCATAAATGGGAACGCACTGAAATATAGCCAGAGGAACAGTTTAGAATGGCTTCTTTTCGCCCTGCTAAGCTTCTTTAAGTTATTCTATCTTTATGATATTTGTCTTAATTCAAATGTTAAAAAATTACTCTACAATTAGTCATCAATAGCAAGACATCGTTGAAAAAGTACATTTATTTTTTATTCATAACGAAATAACACACACAGAAGGTGATACTCATTTGCATCAGATTCTGCACGCAAATAGAACCAGTTGTTGGGTCTTCGCTTAATTGATACACAGGCAAGACAGGCATAGGATAGAAACGCAAATGTTTAAATTTATCATTTGTTACTTTTTGGTTCTGTTTTCTGATATGAAAGCTGAACAAAGCGAATCTAAACTGGATGGAAGAGCTGACTTAAGGCGAGGAGTTTATTTCCAAGAAAAAAAGGTATCGTATGGCAACTTTGCAGCTGACAAGTTCCATCGTCTTCAGGTATCAGTTGGTTTATCGATTGTCGTGAGCAACTACAGAGAGTGTGCTATCAATTGTGTGGAAAATCCGACATGTTTTTCGTTAAACGTCGCCTCGTCTTCAAATTCAGAAGGAAATCTTCGATGTGAGCTGTTAAATGAAGATAAATACTCTGCAAGTCCAGGGAAACTTGTCAGTTCACAGGAATATCATCATTACAGCATCAAGGTATTTATTGAATGACCAAATAATTTTAACACACTCTCTATTTGACAGAAACGAGTGCAGAAAATAGTTGTCTAAGACAATTCGTTATGTCATCAACTGTTATCAGGATGATAAAAAAAAGACTAAGAATCGCTCTGTTAATCAGTAAGTTTCCAAAGTGCTACACCTTTCCAAAACGCAAACTTTATGACGAAAGGTTCTACGCAAAAAACAGATACATCTTTTTAATGCACTAAGGATGACTTTGGGCCACTGTTGTTACAATTATGTTTACTTGAAGAGAAAATGATATGCAGAAGTGTTTAATAGGAAACATCACCTTTGCCTTACCTCATTGTGGCAATTAAAAAAAAAGGTACTTTTTAATTCGGCTCTAGACAGGTTATTAGCTTAATTACGCGTGGCAAGATGTACATCAAGAACAATACCATCTTATTAAAAAGTTTACATGAATCGTTTCAACTTTTACCGTTTATCAATCACATTCCTAAAGTAAAGTTTCAGAGCTTCATTCAGCATTTTTTCAAGATTTCAATCTGCCTGTGTATAATCTGTCGATCATAATTGAAGAAGTTTGTTGGACATTTATCACGAAGATAACAGAGGTCCTTATACTCTTAATTTTTATAATTTCGACTCAGTCATTAAAGATCGGTTACATCAGTAACTCCGCAGAACAATTCAACAACCTGCAACCAGTCGTTAAATAGCTGGATATTATTATTTTTTTAATGACTTCAAGACCGTAGAAAGAATAAAAAGTTTTGCTCCTTCTTATGATGATTCTGATGAAGTAGATATGAATAATATTTGCATGAGTAACATATATAGGAAACCAAATCTATCTTTTCTCTTTGAACATATAATGAATGTGACACTAGAAAAGTGCGTTTAAAAGGAATGCATTTTTGAAAGAACATTTTATGGGATTTTTCTTATTTTCATCCCAACTTACTCGCTCATCTGACATAAAATGTAACCTCCTCAGCTGTATAGTTAATAAATCATGAGAGAAGGCGAAAGTGCGTGTATTGATGGAAGAAAGACTGAATTGATTGTAGTATTGCAAATGTTTCATACATAACCTCAGGTTAGTTGATGGAGTCCTGCAAGGTTTTGAAAGGGTCGAACAAATTACGTGCGTTCAAGCTTCAAAGCAAAACCGACACACAACAGTCTTTCAATTAAAATCTCAAGCACTCAAAAATTCAATTTGCGTTAATTTGAGAAGGGAAAAATTGAACTTTACACCAAATTTAAGAATCAAACAAATCGAAAGATTGGTTGATCCAAGAGTACATAAAAACGTACTTAGACCTGCAACAAAAACTAAAAAATAAGATCACTAAATTACAGCACATCAAATGATGATAATAACGATAATGATAATGATAAAAAACGATGATAATAATGACAGTAAAATAAAAAATGAAAATGGTATTACTGTTTACATGGATATAAATATTGTAGTAACACTAGGGCTATTCCAGCGACAAAAATTGACCATCCAGTAATTGTTAATAAGGTAACTGACGTTTTATTTACAGACACCTTGTTCTAGTTTCCCGTGTCAAAACAGTGCAACTTGTGTTCCAAGTTACGATGAAAACAGTTACCGCTGTGATTGTAAACCGGGTTACACAGGAAAATATTGCGAAACTGGTGAGTTATTCGTTTAATATAAATTGAACCATGTTTGTTAATTACAAATTTTAAGTAATGTCATTCGGTGTTGAAAACTGCAAACGCTTGTCCATTTAACGCCATTAAAATGCTCTGAATATTTAGGAAGAACAAGAAATTGATATAAAACATTTTTTGTAGATATCAGCGTATGTTCCATGGCCAGTGATCCCTGTTTAAATGGAGGGACGTGTGTTGCTGGGGCTCTTGGACATCCGCTTTGTAATTGTCGGCCTGGATACGGAGGAAACCTCTGCCAGACTGGTGCGTATGTCACTTCTCTATAATGTTGCTCAGCTTGCTGACTTCAACTGATCTTTAAATAAAGACCCAGAGGGTTTTCTTTGAATTTATTCTGACACAATCCATCAGGATTTGTTGAAATCAAAGAAGTATCCTTTTTTTTCCTCCTCGCGCACATCAACGAATGTGAAAGTAACCCCTGAGTAAACGGAAGGCGTCTGTTGATCAGGATAATGAATACATATGTAACTGTAAGCTCATGCAATAAATTGACACGAGACATTTTTCTTTCTTGTAGACATCAATGAATGCTCCAGTAACCCCTGTTTAAACGGAATGTCGTGTTTTGACCTAGTGAATGGATATGAATGTCTGTGAGACCAGATCAATTATGACGGAGTTCATTGTGAAATAGTCTGTGAGTTCCTCTACTTATTTAATCGTAACTGAGGAGTCTCAGTTGTAACCATAAATTGAGAGCAAATGTAATAGGAGTGAATGAGTTGATATCAAACATGTTTCAAATTACATTTGAGAAGAACCGATACAGTCATAATCTCCATGAATAATAATAATAATAATAATAATAATAGTAATAATAATAATAATCATCTCAAGTACACTTAACATTGCACGGAGTTTCAAAGTTCTCACTGCGCAGGACCTATGAACTGGCCAAACTTTTACCCATAACTTTTTACAGAGCAGGAATGCAAGCAACGATGTTCTTATTGCGTCGCCATTGAATATTGGTCTGGGGGAAACTTGTCTTGTTACCAATGTTTTGATAAAACATAGAGACATCCTTACACCAATATTAATGATGCTTCATATCCACCTGATGTGTTCGTCAAAAATTGAATGATAGGAATCTGACATAAAACGGCCTTGAGCAGTCACGAGTTGCTTTCGTCAAAAATTGAATCACAGTAACATGACAAGGGATGGGGTGATGTTTTCCAGAAATTAAACATTTTACGAACGAAAAAAGAAACGGCCTGACACGTTTGAATAGACATCACAACAAGTTTGGGGTGCACAGCGGCAAAAGCTATTTATGAACAACAAACACAAACATTGCTCCATCACAGAAGAGTGCATAGTAAAGCTTGTTCCCTGTAGACGTAGGAGTTTAAGTTTTGGCGCATTGTATAGTTTTAAAGTTTAAACATTTATAAGTTCTCATCTCACTAGGTTCAGTGTTGTTTCACAATAGTTTATTCTAAATACTCAGCCTTTTTGTTAACTTTTGATCAACTCGTAACATATAGCGAAGGCCTAAACCAGGAGCCCATTACTTAATGGGCTCTTGCCTAAACTTAATGTAAACGAAGGGTCTAGCTGCCTGCTATCAGTGATATTGTTATTAGTACTGTAGTAAGGTTATTTTGCTTTTAGCGCGTTTCTTTTAATTTTTCTGCCAGTTTTAGAGGCTGTTAGTAGTATTGTAAAAGAACACAAATAAATTAATTGGGAATCGTGCGAACTGGTAATATTGTCGACGTTATGAGTCTTGTCTGTATTCAAGTGCAACTAATTTTAACATAAGCAGCTTGCAATTACGATATATAGATAAAAAGGAAAAATTAAAAATGTATATAATGACGTCTTCAGATGTATTTTATTTAGCACGAAAATCTTCACCCAATAATTTACAAAATCGCAAAACCGTTGAACTTCGATAGACTTTTTTCACCCTTGAGCTACCTGAATTTATTTTGTTTTTCTTTTTAGATCTGAGTTTAATAACCTTAAAAAAAGCCTTCATAACAATAGCCTTTAACTGTACAAGTAGAGAAAAACTTGATGAATTCTGGCTATCGTAGTAAGAAAATGCCATCGTGCAAATACCCCAATGATTTACAATCGGCTTGTTCATTTTGCCCCTACCCGATTGCTTTAAATGTATTTCATGAACATACCCAGTAACTTCAATCTCGAGTTCAGAGCCATTTCCGGCTCCAAAGAGGATTTTTTTGCGTGCTGATTCTGAAGCAAATGATTAACATTTTTCGCTTGTTTGTTTGACAACCTTGAATAAGGCTATTATCGAAGACTATTACTATAAATGATAAAGTCATCGATGAAAAGTACTCAAAATCTACGTTTTTGAAAAAGAATGTTTCGGTGACTTCGAGTTTTTTTCCTTGGCTGACGAATGGTCTCAAACATTTGAGTTTTAAAATTAAGAAGAACACGAACAGGACCGAACCTTTTTTTGTGCCGATTCTTATGCAAACAACAGCTTTTACATGATCTTTTTTTGGAACGCCCTGGGGTTATCGAAGGTATGAATGAGCTTGTCAGTGATGACATATGAAGTTACATGTAATGAAGTCTTAAAGGAAAATGTTTCAACTTTCTTTGTTCCATAGGACTAGTTGGTATCTGTGAGTGCTTCTCACTAAAGTCACTAGATGTAGATCGCGACGTTTCGACTGCTTACTGCAAGTCTTCTTCAGGCGATGGGGTCGACTGGTTCCCGCACAGCATTATGTATCATGGTGGCCTGCTGCAATTGTTTGTATTGTTTCCGTGTACCATGGTTTCCTCAGGCGTTCTCTGATTTGCCGTGCGTCACTGGCTTTGATGTTTTCTAATTGTCGGCATTTACGCTTCCGGTATTTCGGCTCCGTTGTCCCTGTTTATGTTGTTTGGGTTAAGTCTTATGTGAACTGCCTCTTTCGCTTTCCTTGTGTACCAATGGTTGTCTCGGTCTATAAACTTTACTTCGTTTCACAGCGGCTTGTGTCCGGTTCCGTTAGCATGTTCTGAAACCGCGGAATTCTGAGTGCGTGCGAGTCGTATATCCCTGTCGTGTTCTTTCATGCTTTCTTGCATGGGTCGTCCCGTTTCTCCGGGGTTGACTTTACCGCATGCGCATGGTATCTTGTAGACTACGCCATCTTGCTTGTTTGGGTCAGCGGGATCTTTTGATCTGACCAGCCGAGATCTTAGTGTGGTGTCGGACTTGAAGACGGTACCAAGAGTGATCATGCCTCGAGATAAGGATTGTCACCCTCTGCAAAGCATACAGCTCATACCTTATGTTCATTTGAGGAGCGATGGAAAATTTACATGGAACTTACTAAAATCAGGGAAAAAAATAGCGTAGACTTCGGAGTAGGTGTCATCAATGGAATTATCATTGAACATTGAATATGAATTAATGTCGGCTGTCAAAATCGTGGGTGAACTTTAAGACTCCAAAAATAAAAATGAAGTACATGAAAAAATATCTAACGAATCAGGGATAAGCCGGATTCCGTTATCCTGTTATTCAGCTTTTACACCCCAAATCACCAAAAGTCTTATCGCCAAACAAAACATATGGATGAAAAATTTGCATAAGAATCAGCACACGCAAAATTCCCGCATGGAAGTTCGTGACTTTTGCCGTTTGAAAAGCGGATGTTTCTCTCCAAAACTTTCTGGAAACGCAACGCTACTCTCCTAACAACACCTACTTCATACGTTCGTGCTTGTTCCTATGGCGGAGAAGCACTCACAGATACCAACTAGTCCTATGGAACAAAGAAAGTTGAAACATTTTCCTTTAAGACGTCATTGCATGTAACTTCATATGTCATCACTGACAAGCTCATTTATACCTTTGATAACCCCAAGGCGTTCCAAAAAATGATTATATAAAAGTTGTTGTTTGTAAAAGAATCGGCACAAAAAAAGGTTTCTTTTAGTGTTCTTCTCAAAGGCAGGATGGCAAAACAGAGAACATATCCAAGATAATTATAATTAATTATTAAAGAAACCTTCAGGGTCGCCATTTACGGACTTTTCGAGATTTTTGAGATAATTAAGTTTAAAAATAGAAGTATCAATTTTGAAAGCAGATGTTCCATTCGTCGATTAAGAGTCAAGATTTCAAATATGAGAATAGTATTTGGACTACCCTTTTCATTTCCACTTCCGGTAGCTTTAGGTTGGAAACCAGAACTCTCCTGAAATGTTGGCTCTTGCTGTAAGTTTCACCATCTTTCTGGAGTTTGCTCAAACCTTTGCAACGGTCACTGGCCATTTACATGTCGACGGCAACGGCGGGTTAAGAAGGAACATTCATGTAGAGAAAAATCAAGTTTCGTACGGACATTTTGCAGTTGAAAGATTCCATCGTCTTCAAGGGTCAGTTGGTTCATCGATTGATGTGAGCAACTACAGGGAGTGTGCTCTGAGCTGTGTTAATAATCCACCATGTACCTCCTTTAACGTCGCTTCTTCTCCTCGTCCGGAAGGAAAATTTCGATGTGAGTTGTTAAACGAAGATGAATACTCTGAAAGACCGGGCCAGCTGACCAGATCACAGGAATATCATCATTATAGCATCAAGGCGTTTAGAAGGCTTCCTGAGAGACAACTTTAAGCACTCTACTAAATGAAAGCCGTAAAAATATGGCTTCATTGTTTCAATATGAGTGATGCAAAACTATATGAATAATTTTTAGCGCCCAAACATAATGAAAGAAGTGTTTTACCGTTTTCCTGTGTATAAATGAGTTTTAACCGCGTCAGGGACACATCCTTTTTGGTAGAGGATTAAACTTGCTAAACTTCACCACATATGAGAAGTGAATGTCATTCCTCGTGATCATTTACATTTCATTTTGGTTTAGAATAGAAAGACCAACACTTTACAAAAAATACCAACAACGGGGTGTGACGTTTAAGTTTCATCTTGTTGCCGTTAGAAATTGTTTTAGTTTCTGAGTCTTGGTTTCCTCGGTAATTACAATTTCCTCAGGCGTGTTATCATATCATCATGCACATATTACACTTGGTTGGTGTAGGAGCCATGAAATGAAAACATTTCTCAAACTCTCGATAATGGAGAGGTTCTTACGCTTTGCGTACGTGCCTTAGACAATTTTTCTTAGGTTCATTAAATATTAAGCAGTGTAACAACCTGCAAACGTTCAATAAAATGATGTTGAGTCATGCATGAATGATCAAAAAACCTTTTTTAAGCCTGAAGGTCGAAACACGCTAGGTGGCAAAGCTTTACGGAGGTACACGACCGGATTTACCTACACCTCATTTGTGGGAAAAAGAAAGATTTATAAAAACAAAAAACAAAAAACAAAAAACAAAAAACAAAACACAAAACAAAGATTTATAAAAACAAAAAACAAAAAACAAAACAAAACAAAATACTCACTTCTCAGTTATCTAGTCTTAAAGTATTGTTTTGCATATCCAAACTTGTACTCAGAGTCTTCAGCATGTTGAAGATTGACCTGCATTTTCAACTCATCTCATATCTTGTATTTTCTTTTGTGTATGATTAACAAATGAAGAAAATCAGACTCTTTTAATAGACGAATAAAGGGGTAAGTTTCTAAGGAAACTGTGGTACTGCGTCGGTGTGAGAGTATAGCAGGTAATTTAGTGTTAACAACTGAGTGGAAAACGCAAATTAGCCACCGTAAAGGGTAAAGGAAGGGATAAAGTTTTACAGAAAATGGAAATGTCTCGGTCATATACCGAGTGGCATGCAGATTTTAAGGGATCAACTACGAAGCATCATCTCGTGAGTCTCTGTCGGAACAGAATATTCAGAAGTAAGGAAGAACAGCATCTGCGACTACCTCTAGTTCTTTCTTTACAGTAGACTCTCATCAATATAAAAAATTTAATTGACTTCTCACAAATTCTGTGAAAGAAAAAAGGAATAGTCAAACACATTCAACGGCCAGAAATCGTCCCCGAGCCCTCCCTTAGATATAATTTTTCCGACTGAAAGGAGCTGCCACGCCGAATAGAAGTAAATACAAATATAAACAAAACTTTAATGATACAAACTGAAAGAAAACTTGATAGTCTGAAGGGCGTACCCGTCGACAGAATTTTTCAGGGATTTCTTCGGTCTTCACAATAACCAAGGATCAGGAAAAGTTTCAAGATGCTCGTGAGGTTTTACACCATTTTCTAATCGATTTTCGAGAATTTTAAGTAAAATTTAACCGAAAGTTTAAGCGATTAATTTTTCATGCCATCCAAACTTATTTATATGTTTCTACTGATGGGCTAAATTTGAAGCGTACGTTGAGAATCTCATCATTCCACGACAAAGGCGTAATTCATCGTTTAATAATTTGGCCGCGCAAACTGTCGCATGGTTTAAAACTTCTAGCTGTCATGACAGTTCCTTTAATTCTGCCTTTACTCATGAAACTTTTACTTAAATCAAGCAATTTTTGAATCGGTTACGGCCGTGGCCGAAGTTAATGTATTTTATTCTTAAGAAGACAATTTACTCTCGGAATACCATTTTCCATCCAGGAGTATCAATAGATTACTAGTGAGATGTCAGGGATTTCTTATAGTGTGCTAGGGAAGAGGAGAAGGGGTGTACTGTTCACGACCTGCAAACGACCTGCAACAAAATTGCATGAACCCGAGCGGCAAGTGCAATTTGTAATCTTTGAAAAATTTACTTTAATAGACATGACAGGGAGTCAAGAAAGACAAAATTTTGAAAGTATGCATGCGCTATTTGTAATTTGCACTTGTGTTACAACTTTGCAATCGGGTTGCGTGGGAATGGCCCCGTTTTCAGCCAATCAGAAGCGCGTAATTTTTTCATGTACAATTTTAGTAATGTTATTAAGGATTTTAATTTGTTATTACTGATATCCATTATTAAAAAACAAGCACAACTGTACATGTCAATGCAAAGAGCTTCTGATCAACAGAGTTTAAATTGATATTCATTTCTCCTGAGCAAAAGGTATACATTATTGTGATAGCACTGAGTGGTGTGAACATAATTTGCTCAGCTGTATCTATGACATATCAACAGGTTTTACACATCATATCATAGAAGATCATATCATCATGATCATAAGTACAGGTAAGCACACGTCTGTCATTATACTCCCACAATTTCAAGCCAATCTAACAATAAAGCACCTCTATAACACTAATAATAAGTTTTTTATGCACCTAGCAAATAATTTTTTTGTGTCTGTCCATTGACTGATTCAAAGGTGATTAGTCATTCACCCAGGAGGTGATAAGAATCAAAGTAGCTTAACATTTTTCTGTGGTTACCTAAGAGGAAATCCATCACTCTTCACCGCCACTTTGGTAAAAAACTGTAAAACATCATCAATACTGCAGCTCTAGTATTATATTGAAGAGTTTTACTGACATTTAGGGAAACCTGTTTGCAGACAAACAGCCGACAGGATGCTGCACACAAATGGATCCAGGAAAGTTGGCCCAGAGTAGACTACTAGCTGGTTTTGTTTTTTGGGGGAAGGGGCAGGTGGGGATTTTACTGTATTTTCTCAATGGATCTTACGACTCATTCATTTACTGTGAACAAATCAATTGTGTACTGACAAATCATGATTAAGATCTGGATACTGACTAAACCCAAAAGCCACAAACTAATTAAAGTTGCTGACGGGATTTAGTTTTCCTGTGCTTGATTGTATATTTTCTTTACCCTTTACACCCTAACATCAGTATGTATATTCTCCATACTCCCTAAGGTGCTAAAAAGGAGACTTTGTTTATCATTCCAGAACTTCTTTAGTTGGTGATCATTTCCTTTATTCTTGTCACTTTAGTGTTGATTCAGGCATGACATTGTGAGGAGAAAATAGAAGCTAGTCACTCTTAGTGTCAAAGGGTTAAAAAATTGAAGTACCATAAATATCTGTGGTGTTCACCATTATCTGAGTTTCATAGTAAGTAATTCATTGCTACAATTATCCAGCCATAAAATTAGTAAAAACACCAAGTTCAGTATTAATTCTATCCAATATTATTGGGTTCACTTTCAAGTAATTTATTTCACTGTAGCTGTCACATGATTTTTGTACATGAAGTGAAATTGGTAACATTTCCACACAGCTCCATGCTGTTGCAAAACAAGGCTGTAGACCCAAAGACAATCTATAATCCTGCCATTGTTTCATTTATCCAAGAACTGTAAGCATAGTGGAGTATGGGGCTGTGTATAAATCGTGTCACAAATTTCTCATGATAAAATACACCCAACTACACACAAGCTTTCCTCTTCAATCCTTTCCAACCACCAAATATCTATCATCACCTTTCCCATATGACTTGTGTTTCAACCCATATTGTTGTGAAATTTTATGTATAACAGCTCGGTCTTCTTTCGAGAGTTCGCTAGAAAATTTAATTTCTCTGTCTGTTCCACTAATAAATGACATAAGTACATCTCTAATCGTCTGTTTTTTCACTTGCGATCCATGTGTTGGATTGCACCCCAGACCAAACTTACCATCAGTACCGAGAGCAATGACTGGCTCTGCTCGACCTTGGCCCTCCTTACCAATCCCCCCACTCCCGGTCCATCCCATTTTCCGAAGCATTTTATTGCCGATGTTATCTTCGGAAATGCTCGCTGCCTTTTCATAAGCTTTCGAGACTAGTTTGGTTTTCGACACACATGGGGCAGATTCATGTTGCCGAGATAGTGATCCCAAACGAATAACAGGTTGGCGAGGTCGGAGCATCGACAAAGCATTCTCGGCTGCTGTGCGTTTCGCCTGTTTTTTCCCTACCCCTTCCCCAACAGCAACCAACTGGTTCGCTATCGTCACAGAACAAGAAAATAGACCTGTTTTGCTGTTCACACCAAGTTCGTCAAATGATATAGTTTTCTTCGATTTTTGGGCGCTCTCGTTCAAAACACTCACAGGATTGCTTTCATTGCCTTCCTCTCCTTCCTCACGCTCGTAGATTGTGAAGTTTTCTATCAGTGGTTTTACCTTTCTCAATGCTTTGTGTGGCACAGAAATACCCCCCTTCGATTCAAGTTCACCCACTATTTCCTCAGTTTTCGCTGGATATCTGCAGCCAAGGAACTTCATGTTCGCCCAAACCATAGATAAAGCTTCTCCCTTATCCTCTGGAAAATTATCTTCCAATTTTTCAATAAATTGTGATCTTAAATTCCATTGTAAGTCACTTTCCCAAATACACTTTTTTGCCGCCATTTTGAAATCTTACAGACGCGGTTACCTGGCTCTTTTTGAGATATCTGCTGACCACATTTGTTGGGTTTTCCAAGATGGCCGCTGATGCATGACGAGTAAACATGAAGGGTGTCTGTTTTTTGAAGCTAGATTCTCGTAAATTTCTCGTTTTTAGCAGATGTATACCCAATTCATCATTCCGCAGGAGCTTGAAATACCTCTCCTCGCTTCCTCATTTTGTATATTCGGAGGATCTTGGTTTTTATCGAGCGAGATTATACAAACCCACAAGACTACGTAATTATTTTAGCCAAAAGACTACTGGACAATCCAAGAAACATGAAGAAGTACGGGCTACCGAGTTATTAGATTCCACCACTCATCAGCATCACACTACCACCATATTACAAAGATTACAAGATCTAGAGGAGTCGTTTCGTGTTCGGGGACATTCTATCTTGAGATGGGGCTTAAGTGCACTTGTCATTTCGGGATTTGTTATTTACATTTTCCGTGAACCACTCAGGGAAAATGTGGCAGACGAAGTAGCAGATGTTGCTAGCAGATCTCTAGGTAAGGAAAATATGAAGAAAACTGACTTTGCAAGACTAACAGGAGGGATCCAAAATTACCCCCTCCTCCCCTCCCTTGTTGTGATGACTTGTCATGAAATGCCACGGACTTTTAGTCGCCTTTTAACCGACTAGACCATTTGCTTTCATTAAAACCTGTTAGCCGACAAACGGCCGGCAACGGGCTGACGAATGGAACGAGAGTGGGCCTTTAGGTTTTTTCGTGTTTTGGTTTGTTTTGTTTTAATTGTTTGTTTGTTTGTTTGTTTGTCTTTTTGGGGGGAGGGGGTGGTAGGGTATATGGATTAATTTGGGATTGTATTTCTCCCTTACTCTGGATCTTACGGCTCATTCATGTACTGTCTGATGATACGTTTCCTTATTTAGCTGACGAGAATGTTATACATAAGGCCAACGAAGTCACGAGAGCCGTCCTCCAAGATATTCTTCACGATCCGGAAATCACTAAACTGGCTGGTGCTTTCGTGATGCATGTCCTCCACAGAGAAGACGTAAAGTCTGCCGCTATTCAGTTAACCCAACACGTCCTCAACGATCCTTCGACCCTGAAGAAGATCAATGAACTTGCCAAGAGTACGCTTTTGAATCTGGTGGTGCACGAAGAAACCAGAGCTTTAATGTTGAGCTATATTAAGGCGCTGATTCTGGATAAAAGCACTAAAGATGCGTGTAAAGTCCTGTTGGCGGAGCTCGTGAAGGATCCGGATGTGAAAGGATTTATGGCAGCGTCACTCGGTGATCTGGTGACGTCGTCTGTTGTTAAAAGCAGTGCTGCGGAACTTGGAAAAAGCGTCACGCATGAAGTTGTCAATGACGCAAGAATTCAGCAAGAGACTGGGAACTTTCTGTGGAGAGCCTTTAAGAACACTTTCACCTCCGGATGGTTTGGCTAAGGGATAGAGGATGATATGGCAAAAAGTGATGAAAGAAAAAGTGTTTCATCGAAAATTATTTCTAAATTTCGTGTACTTAACAGTTTGACTGGCAAACCTTATTTAGGACAAGGCAGTCTGCTTTTTCCCAGGAAATAATTAAAAAAAGATTTCAAAAGAGAAGTGCTTTTATTGAAAAGTTATTCGATTTACTTGTACTTTACAGTTTGACTGGCGGTTTAAACTTTATTTCAGGAAATTTAGGCCACAAATAGTCTTTTTCTCAGGTTTATTGGGTGAGAAACACTTTTAAAAAAAAGTATGAAAATGCATGTGGTCACCGAATTATTTAAGAAAAAAAAAACATGTCCACTCGCATTTCTTATCTCATCGTCATCGCCATGTTGCTGCAGGTATATCGTCACGATATATCTTGTATTTTAACGCAGAAAAAATGCCGGAGAAAGATAACTTTATTTTAAATACATTATCATATGTAAGTGACTTGAAAATTACATCGACAGATGGGCGTCCAGAAAAAAAGGCAAAGGACTATTAGAAATATTAAGTTTATCCGAGGAAACCTATATGCTTTACTGTTGAAGGATCACCTAAATAAAATAAACATATTTTCAGTGAATACATTTAAGATTATGGGAAATACTTTTTTAGACGCAAGGCTGCGAGTATAACAATTTTTTTGTCTAAAGGTGCACGGTAGCTTTTGCCAACAAACCTCTGGCATAAGGGTATTTGAGTCAAAGATCATCTATTACACCTCACATATTTGCTGTGTGACTATTTTTTTTCACAGAATACGCGAAAAAACGTTTGCCACGTTTTGAGGACCTGGGTGGTATCTCCTGTAAACGGAGAAATCTCAAATAGATGCTTCGCAGCTCGAGGAGAGATCCTGGGTAATTCCGCTTCCTCTCAGTCTCCCTTATCTTTTTGTTAACCTAGAAAATCTGTTGACTTGTCATGGAAAGGAAGAAAAAAATTTATTTACCCGTTTGCTGTAAATTGCAATATTGTATGATTATGGGAAATGTTAAGAAATGAACAGGCGAAGTAAGGCTCACTCCCAGTCTTTTCCGCAGTCATTTAAATCGCGTTAGTGGCTACTTACCACATGCCGCGTGACCGTGGGCTCAAACAAAGTAAAATTACTATGCCAACTTGAAAGCAGGATTTTCTTTATTATCAATTAATAACCCCGGTTAACTGAGCCCTCGTAACTGTCTCGAATTTGGGCAGATCCAATTAGCTGATGTTAGGGAGCAGTCATTAGTTACAGGTACCCGTGCGGAGGCCATTCAAGACCTAACCAAGGCGAATAAATATTTAAGTAGTAGCGGTTAAAGCTATCACATAATGACGGTATACATGACAATCAATTTGCCTTCTGAAATATCACCGACATCGTTTTGTTGCAGGTAGTTTGTTCGCAGTGTTAACTCCTGACTACGAGTTGAGGTTGCAAATGCAAGCGTTTAAGTTTGAGTTCACTTTGATGCACTAACGTCACTGTATTGCTGCATACAGTCTACAGCTTGAAACTCTTATCAAGTTCATCGTGTTCTGGAGGAGTGTCCAAACCAGATAGGAAATTGACGCAAGTTAATGAAGATAGAGTGTTTACGAAGATCGCATCTGAAAAGCAAGTACTCATGTTCAGTGTAATGGAAGGTAAATAACTTTTTATGAGGAGGAAATTCTCACTGATTTTGCCGTACGCTTCAGAGATACAAGCAATTTTGATCGACATAGCTGTGGGCTGCAAGTTACACAAACAAACGCAGTCTTTCCCAGCAGGTATAGTTTGTTATCATTTTCACCTAACACACCGAAGCTATGGAAAAAACTGAGAACGATTCAAACATTATCACGAATCGCACAAGTTCCGACATTCTTACGTGCTCTATTTGCTTGGAAAGTGTTCGCAAGCAACGAGCGAGCACCCACCAAAAATGCGCCGCTGCCTTCTGCGAGTCGTGCCTTGGCGCCTACATACGATTAGAAATAACCCAGGGGAAATGGAAAGTTGAATGCGCGAACTGCAGCTCGTTGCTTGCTAAAGAAATAATCCATAAGTTCTTGGAGGAGTACCCTTTACTTCAAGAGCATTTAACTCGTCTGGTAGCAGATGCGAATCAAGATCCTCTGGTCAAAACATGTCCAAATTGCGGCGGAAGAAAACGCGTTAAGAATCACAAAACAAAACGAGTAGCGTGTGAAGAGTGTCATTTCGACTGGTGCTTTACATGCCATGCTCCATGGCATAAATCAATGAGCTGCAAGGACTTTAAACGAGGAAACAAGATGTTTAAAAAATGGACGAAAGACACCACCGAATGTGGCACGGGTATAAACGCACGTCCTTGTCCGAAATGCAAAGTTTTTATCCAAAGACAAGACGGTTGCGATCAAATGACTTGTCCCCGGTGTCGTACAACCTTTTGCTATCTTTGCGGCAAGAAGATCGTGCATAGTACATTGTTTGGCAGCCACTGGAGTATCTACAGTGTGTTAGGATGTAGGTATATTTATAAACCGCATCACCCTGTGCAAAGAAAGGTCATTAGAGGTTTTTTACTAGCTGTGGTACTAGCTTCGCTGCCAGTTTTTGCCACCATCTTTGTGGCTTTATCCCCTGTGTATGGAGTTTATAGGTTACATAAATGCACTCGTAAGCAGTAGACGTTTACGATTAAGGTTTGAATGAAGCTAACCGTTCATTTTTAAAATTATCTCATAATTGCAAAAGTAATTTTAATACAGACGACAAAAGTTACACTCTAACAACTTCATGTCTGTTCGAACAGCTAAATCGTATTTAACCAATTGCAGTTTTCCTCTGGCCATCCCAGTAAACTTTAAAAAGATATACTGTATTAATAAAATTTTCAACTTTTATCATTCATTCGATGTCTAATTGTCACAATGTTATTGCGATGTTCTCACGTTTTACATTGTTAATATTCTTTTTAACTGCCGAGGTCTCCTCTACATCACTGGCTCTCGAAAATGAAGTATTTTTCCAAACAGGCCTTTAGAGAACAAACCAAGACTAACGAGGAGAATCTGCCTGCCTCGGTAAAACTTGCGTTGGATACTCAAAGAGAGTATATTTCTCATTCCTGATGATGCCTGACAAGTTCCATAATATTATGAGCTGCTAATACGCGAGTCTTTACTGCCCTTTCCTACGCTGTCTTTCGTTGGCGCACATGAAATGCTGCATTGATGGTACCTTATCTACACAGCCCGTAATTAGGTGAACATATCTGCGGGTTACGTCACTAATTCTACGTCCTTAGAATCCCGTGGAGAATTCTGCTTCGTACTGTGTAAGGCTGCGTTGTCAAGGTTATGCTGTAACGTAAAAAATACCAAAACAGTTTTAGGTTACAAAATAATACAGTCGTCACTTCTTTCCGATTCCGCTTTGAACTCTAGCGCATTTGATCACGTGAAAACGAGCTTGTCAGAGTCGTAAAAGGCAGCCAAAGAATAAAATAATCACAATGCACTTCAAGTGCTTGTGATTCTAATAATCGAGTTTTTACCAGATTATAAGCGACGGAGTCATAGGAGGCATCAGTATTCTGCTTCTTATTCCCGTTCCATTTGCCAATTTTTCGCGATCATACCTCTCTGCGCCCTGTGAGATAACGACTTCAACATAACTGAAAACCAGCCTTAAATAACTTACCTGAAGTACATGCAACCCCGACAGCGAAGCCACGGCGAGTTCCTTCAGTCCGTCATTAGTTAGATCCAGATATTCAATAGCAAACAGAGGGCTCGCAAAACTTCTCCTCCACATCAGCTGAAAATCAATGCTGTTTGAACCGTTCCCTGTATTGTCTAGAGGGACACACTTAAAGATGAGGAGTTCCTGTTTAATAGAGAAAAGGAAATGTTGTTTCACCAGTATTCCAATGTTTCATGAACATTAAAGGCCACTGGGACCTAGTTCCTCAGTTTTACAGCACTAACTGTCGATCGCAAAGTTTACATTTCCAAGACGTTTTCTGCAGAACAACAACGTGAAATTATTAAATTTTTCCTTCCTCTACGTACGAGGAATGCAAGGGCAAATTAATCACTTCTCTCAGTGCTTGTAATTTAACGCTGCCTCCACAAGATAAAATCTTCGAGCCTTCGAAATTCTCACCAGCGGTCTACCACAACCTGTAAGACCAATTACCACCGTATTTTGGGGGCTGTCCTGGTGTACCGGTACACGAGGGAATTCCTTTTGTTTTCATAACCATACATGGAGTTATGACGCAGTTCGTTATTGTTTCCTTCTTTTGTGTACCGGTACACGAGGACACAACCGTATTTTGAGTCTGCGAGCAAGCTCTTGAGTTTTAATCGCTCTGACGAAGGGCTAATACTCGAAAAATCAACTTTTAAACTCTATAAGGTGGCCAGTTTACGTTTTCAACCCAGTTGATAACACTAAATTACCATACTTTACACCAATCGCCAACCGTTATTAAAACACCTGACAAATGTTAATTCACTTTTCATTTTTAGTGGACGTTTACGCGGGCGTTGCAACTATTATTAGTCAAACTCCCAGATAACCTTCTTGTCATCGTGTAGCGTTCACCTGTCCATATGTCCCCAAGATTATTTCGTTCTTTCCGTCCCAGTTGACATCAGCGATACATGTACACGTCACACAATCGAATTCGTCCGATTCTGGTAGAATCACCATGTTAGTGAAACCTTGACTTATTATATTGCTGTGAACCAAAAAGAAAACACTTAGTCAACACACATTTCCTCTCGGCTATAAAATTTAAATCTAGAATGAGAGCTTAAGTTCAGAGCTTATTGCTGAAGTGTATTGTGGAAGTTCCTTTGCAAGAAATTGTCAAAAAAGTTCGATTCTTGCGGTCTGGCGTTGGCTTAAAAGTAGTCCCGAGTTTCTTTAAGAACCAAACAAGCTCCTAGAATAACTTGTCAAAACAATCATAAAGTTCTCTCGCGCAAATCACCACAGTTCTCCATTGCATAGCCGTTGTGGTTTACTTACGTGTAAACGACAGTTGCTTCAATTGCACAGCAAACCAAAAGGTGGTAATCCCTTCCTTCAAATGTTTGTCCGTTTTCAATATTTTTAGCATCTGCAAGGAGAAATGGAAACAATTCTTGTGTCAGCTTATTCTGAAGACGTCTCAAAAAGAGGTCAACGGAGTTTTGTATAGCACAGTTAAAACTTTACCGGTACCGGTAGCTTCGATGATTTTGCTCGAGTCTTGCGTAAACAATTTCACACTTGAAATAGGTCCATCACGATCCAAAGTGTTCTGTTCAATAGCTGTAAAACAATACCAAAACAGTAAAAAAATCTGTATCAATACTGAAAAACACCGTAAAAGTTCCTCTTCCCACCAAAATGCAAAACGATCTCAGAAAGGAAGATGAAAATAACAATCAATTAGGCGAATAAAGTACGACGACTTTTTCTGCCTTCGACATCGCCTCGACGAAGTTGAAAAAGACCTTTTCACTCTGTCAAATATAATTTTAATCGAGAAACACAAATTAACTCCAAACGAAGTTTCAATGGCAACATACTTCCCCTAGTAAGGTCAGTCACTGCCACCTTAACGTGCCCGTTTTGACAGCCAACCACTGTTACACGCTTAGAATTGTGTAGAGTTTCCACTTCCAACCAAAGAACACTGCACAAAGAGCAAAGAATGAACAATAATTTAACACGATCTAGACTGATACCTATTGATTTAAATACACAAAGGAATTCTAACAGACACCTAAGATTTAAAGTAGTGAACATCAATATCAAATCTTGAACACTGAGCGTGTAGTGAAAGAAACTACTCACTTGCTTGGTAAATTTTGCAGTTCAGGAAAAAAGCTTTGCACTGGCTGCTCCTCAAACCTCTGTTGGGTCTTATCCTGCAAATTTAGTAAAGAAACTGTTTAATCCTTTACACCTCAAAATCAATATGCATATTCTCCATACTGCTTTTTACACATTTCCCAAGGTGCTGGAAAGGAGAATTTGTTTACCAATCATAAGCTTCTTTCATTGATGATCATTTCCTTAATTCTCATGACCTTAACATGTGATTCAAAGGTGATGTTGTGGGGAGAAATTTGATGCTAGTCACTCTTAGGTTTAAAGGGTTAACAGTGGGAAGTTTATAAACACAGTTGTACCAACCATAAAGTAGGTAGTCTGGGCCTTAACAATACAAAGCAAAAGTGATCCTAATTACAATGTCAAAGCAAACTCCACATGTAGTAACTGTTGGTAACAACAATTCATAAATGAAGCACTAGTGGGTTAAAGAAAGGAGCCAGGATGCTCAAATTTAGCAATTTTCTCTTCCTGCCGATGTACATCTCTTTATAATTTATTTCAAACAACTTAGTGGAAAGTGCTTGGATTGGATATCGTAAAACCAAATCAACAAGAACTCAAAGAAAAGCCAAGCAAACTGCTGTGCACACAGGAAAAAGCTCAACAATACACAATTGCTTTTATTGTTGTATCTGATTGGTTGAAAGGGTGGTGTACATTTTCTTGACCGATCACCAAGCAGAAAAGAGCAAATCCAAAGCAATCCCACATTATTTTTGACACTTGATTACAAATTACATGATCCAGATAGCACTCTTCATGTAATAAAAGTCATCAATTCTCATCACTTTTTTCCTTCATATCATATCATGCTGGAAGGAGAAGTTACTTTTTTTAATCAGTTTTGGGAGTCAGAGGGTAATAGTAAAATCTGCTAACCTCACAAAACATGTGCACCTTTTCATCACTTCCACAAAGTAAAAACACAATTTGCTTTCTTTCCTTTATAACAACCCTGCCAAAGGCAAGTACAAGAATTTATTTAGTAATTATTAACTGGGAGTGTGCGAGGTTATACCAAAAAAATTTTAAATGACATTCTAATGTCTAGCAATGCATAACATAGCTCCAGTGATCTGTAAATCAAGTTCTCATTTTTAGATTCTTCATTTTAAGGCCTCCATCAGTTCTAGTACATAATGCACTGACCAATGTCTTTGATGAGTCTCCATGTATTTGAAAAAAATCTAAAATTATTGACTTGAATACAAAAGAGACTTCTTACTCAGCATGCGTCAGCTGGAAAGGGACAAAGTTCAATTCAAGGTGTTGACAACCCTCTGTAAAAAATGATTAGTAATATTGTAAGTAAATTGTAAATAGCTTTTAGATGAAATAAACAAAGATTCACAGCATAGTAGATAAATCAATATGCATTTAAACACATTGACTGAGAAGTTAGAGTAGCAGTATTGCATACATTGTATCATCAACATACTATACCTGCAATACTACCCAGAGAGAACTCTGATCTACTTTCCAAAGCTGAATAGATGTTGAGAAACTGTTTTTGGTGACTTCTAGAATTCTACAACAGAGTTCAGTATTGTTTAAAATCAGCCACAGAATACTCCCAGAAGGGTGATGGATAAAATTAAAAGAGTGTCTTTGTGTAAAAGACATCTAAATAATGTAGACATCTCAAATTAGTTGAAATTTATTTCAGTACAAATTGAATCAGATTTCTCTGAGAAAGAGGGAGAAAAATCCTCTAAAACACTCTCCACTCCCAACATGTGGCTTTCTAGCTTAGTTGGTACTACTGTGGCAGCCAACTAGTATCTAGGAGGCCTGTGTTAGAATTCCATCAAAGCCTGAATTTTTTCCAGGGTTCTTTCATTCTATTGCTTAAATTGCTGCTCAGCTGCAGGGATCATGGCTTTATTTGAGAGGCACCACAAGTTACTTCCTGTTTGAATTTGTGGACTTACTATTAAGTAATATGCAGTACTTGTGCTCCATAGAATTTTATAATGAATAATGTTAGGTAACACCTAGGTCATAGCTACACACTCTCATAGATTATGATGCAACTTATGGTCAAAATCTCAAAATATGATTTTTCTTATAAAGAACTATTCATCAGAGTTTAGCCAAAGTGTTCTGCCATGATAGAAATAAAAAAACTGCACTCCCTCAAATACGTACCTTTAATAAAATTAATGATATCCCTACTACAAGTCCTTTTCTTGTCTCAGGTCTGTTAAATGCATCAATGGAAACAATTTCTGCTGAATCTGAAGGGGAAAAATGATCAACTAAACAAAAAAACAAAACAAATAAATGAATGAATAAAAGATGGATTGCGAGAGGTGGTGATCGATGTAATCGGTAAGCAATATACAATTCCTGTGGAGAGGTGAGCGTGATTTTTATTCTTTTTCGGGTACCCTAAAGACGGCCTGGTTATGATTTGGTATGATCTTAGTGCACGTTTCCATCATCAAGCACAGATTTTCACAGACCTGGGATGTAGGTGAAGGGAACCTCTTTCGAAGTCGGCACAGGTGAATTCCGTGGATATTCCAAGCAAACCACCCTGCCACTAAGGGACGCCAGAAATAGCTTTCTTTCTTCGTCGTTTCCGTCGATTTTTGTCAGACCATAGATATTCGTTTGCGAGGGGATTGGCAAGAAGTGAATTTCTTCGAAATCAAATTCCTCCTTGTCCGCCATATTTATTTCTAGTTTAGACCCAGGCCTCTCCTCTGCATAATCGATCCAAGTCTAACCTTCGTACCAGGAAAGGTGATACTGGCCTCGCTAAATTTTTTTCGCCAAAGAATCTTCTTTTTCCTCGTTGGATCGATAGTGTCTGTAGAGATATATGGGTGCTAAAATTTTTTGCGCCTCAGAAATCTAATTACATACTTTTGCTGCAGGTGATGAAAAATAACCTCGAAGAGCCATTGAGTGATCATAATTTCACAATCTTCTGGAAACTGTTCTTCTGAAACAATATATATCTTCTGTTTTAAGACGTCGCAAAGATGCATATTCAGAAACACTAATACACCTACTACCTACTTTTAAGACTTAACACATGCGCTATCGTTTTGAGGATACTTAACAATTATCAGCTGAATTACACACAAAGGTCTAAAGTGTGAATTACTTTTATTATTGTAACTACGTAGGGTCACTTAAAAGCACAATGTGTTAAAAAGCGCTGATAGATTTCAATAGGGATAAAGCCGACTTAATTTCTTATAGAATGAAGTCACAAAGGGCAATTGAATTCTCGCACTATTTCCATAAAAATTCCTGGCAGAATTTAGCTAAATTAACAAAACTGGATCTCCTCGCAGCACATATAATCATCATATAAGACCCCCGTGCTTTTCACAGCTGACTTTGAAGAGCAAGGAGCGAACACCAAGTCAACAGGTGCAGGTTTTCGTTGCTATGCAGGCTAAACGATACATTTTAAAGCTTCTCTTTCCTTTATTTCCTATCATTCTTGTTCCTATCACGGCCCACAACTATGTAGACGGTAGAAGCGGTTTAATACGAGGAGTCCGTGTACCGGGAACTCGAGTATCTTATGGCAATTTTGCAGTTGACAAGTACCATCGTCTTCAAGTATCAGTTGGTTTATCGAGCGTTGTGAGCAACTACAGAGAGTGTGCTCTGAGCTGTGTTAATAATCCACCATGTTCCTCGTTCAACGTCGCCTCATCTCCACGTTTAGACGGACAATTTCCATGCGAGTTGTTAAACGAAGATAAATACTCTGCCAGTCCAGGCCAGCTGGTCAGTTCACAAGAATATCATCATTACAGTATCAGGGTATGCATAGAATTGATTGTAAAACATTTTACAACCCCTTTCATGCAATGAAGGCTCTTTGTTTACACTTCTACGAAACCTCCCTCTTAATTTTTTTTTCAAGTCATAATTCTCAAAACCAGTATTTTTTTGCGAGATGCGAGTTCCATTTCAACAAATTATTTTGGCTTTGATCAAAAAAGACTCTCGAAAATTTCAGACACCATGTTCTAGCTGGCCATGTCAAAACGGCGGAAAATGCATCCCAAACTACGAAAAAGGAGAGTTTACATGCTCTTGTAAACCTGGTTTTGGTGGAGAAACTTGTCAAACAGGTTAGTACAGAAACAATATCCTAATAAATAAGCATTAAGTTGCTTTTTGTTGTAAATGTCGGCCGTAGTAGTAGCTGTTTTGCTCGGAGAGACCAGCAAACTGAGACTTTTCAATTTTAGAGTAGAAAAACGTAGTTTTGATTCTATGCAAAGTTATGTTGGGACTTTTCGCTGGGTATATACTATTTCGTTCAAAGGCGAAAAACTTAAGATCTTTAGTCGGAGATGCTGTCTCTCCTCACTACTTTATGTCATTAATTTAATTCATTAGCAGAGTGCTCTGCTTATCATCAGGGGGTAGGGGAAAGGGTCCAGAGAGGGGGAAGGAGAGGAAGGTGTCAGTGAGCTTGTAAGAGTAAGCATAGTTCAGAGTTGACACTGAAAGCCATTTCATTCTTCTCACTCAATGATTCTCCAAACCAACTCCTTTCAGATATCGACGAATGTTCATCAAACCCTTGTGAAAATGAAGTTACCTGTGTCGACCAGGTCAATGACTTCAATTGCGTTTGCCAACCAGGATATGAGGGAAAAACTTGTCATAAAGGTTGTATATATTTTTGTTATTATGGCATAGTACTCTACAGAGTGAACATTTAAGAGCAAAAAAGATGTCTGGTTTGAACTCCCACTTTCTCTCTGCCCCAAAATGTCACCAAACAGAACCAAGAGGAAAAAAATATTTTAAAGTTCAAGAGGGAAAAGTTCATCATTCAAAGTTATTGCAAATATTTTCCTTTTGGTTAACATGAAGCTGAAAGCAGAGGACCAAAAAGTTCCATATTTTTTGTGTGCGTAACTGCGTTGCCTATCCTCTCTGGAGACAGCTCATTAGGCTTCGTTTCGCTTTCGACCTTGTGTCATTGATAGACTGACATGTCTCTGGCTGAAATCATTATCGAGTGAATATCATGCAAGATAAGCAAAAAAGCAAAAGAAGCAAAATCTAATTCTCGCACTGATTCTTGTGACTGCAGACCCAATTTTGCAGAGGAAGGAATTCGAGATAAGGGGTAGAACTAAGAATTTAATACGCATTGTTAGCCATTGTTACGGGGAAGGGATGTCGAGATGTAGAATTAACACGCTCTGCGAGCCTATTTTGCGGACAAAGGACCTCGAGATCACGATTGAAACTAAGGATTTATTTTGCCTTGCATGCCTATCTTGGCCATCGCAGAGAGAAAAGAATGTGCCAGCGATCCTTGTCAGAATGGGGGCATTTGTATAGACCAAGTCAATAGATACACGTGTCAGTGCAGAGCTGGAACAACTGGAGATCACTGTGAGATAGGTAGGGAACAACTAATTATGCTACAGGTTATTAGGCACCTGCTAAAACCGGCGCCATCCAAACGAAAGGAAAAAATTTATCGGAGGGACGAAGGCAATCTAATGTTAGGTCAAAAATAATGAAATCTCAAATTAACGTTTTTAGTGTTTTTGATCGAGCGTTTATTCAAAGACGACGTGTTTTTGACGGCGGTGTTTGTTTCTTAATCACACGTATTAAATCACGGACAATTTCCATAAACTATTTTGAAATACTATGTAAAAAAAACATATATCCCGCTTTTTTGCTGAGATGGAGTAATTATAGACTGGTTATAAAATGAATAACAACGTATGGGCGGCTGCAGTTGCGGTCTGGGGAAGCTGCTTGTATAAAGTCTCAATATCAATGATAATAATTATTATGATAATAATAATAATAATCTAGCAGTGGACATTCTCCTGTCCTCTGTTTCCAGGTCGAACTAGAATGTTTGTTTTTACCGAAGGCGACCCGGATATAACCTCTCGGAGCAAGGACGAGAACGAAAAACAAACTCAATCTATAAGTGACACCTCGTCCGGGAATCGAATCCGGGCCACACCAGTGGGAGGCGAGCGCTCTCACCACTGTGCTGTCTCCGCTCCCCTTATTACATACAGCCTCATATTCAACACTGTTTCTCTTTCAGATGTGGATGAGTGTTCCAGCAACCCATGTGCCAATGGCGGAACTTGTGTAGATTCCGTTAATGGTTACTTGTGTCAGTGTGCTGAGGGATTTGCCGACACAAATTGTAGCAGTTCTGGTAAGCCACTTAATTAAACTGGCATCATACTACAGCTACTACCAAAATTTGAATCGCATTAACCTTTGTGATGTTGAGGGAACATTTTCAAGATTTGACAGCAATCTAGCTCCCATAGATATGTTGTATATTTATTGACCAAGTTTTTTTGGTTAACATTGCTGGGTTATGGCGAAAATGTTCGTATTTCGGGGTCAGAGTCTTGTAATCTTGAGCAGGCAAGCTCGGTCAGTTATAACTAAGAATTTCTGTTAGGAGGCCAAACCCACCTGCATCTTTAAGTTAAATTTTCTCCACGAATGAAGGGCAGGCACCACCGGATAATTCCATCAGAGTCATATCACCCCATTTGCTTTATTTAGCCAAGATCTGAATGTCTTTGTGGACATTTACTACATACTGTTAAATGTATTGCACTAGGGATACTCTTTGGACAGAAAAAGTGTCTCTGGTGGAAAGCCTTTATTTCATCCGAGAATAATGATCACTGATCAGCAACGGGAGATTCAATTCAAGCGAAGGAAACCGCAGGCGTATTGCAAGTAACGATAACAGACGGTGAAATTGCCACTCTTTTTTTCAGCTTCCACACCAAAGACGTGCGCTGGAGTTAATTTGCAAAACCCTGGCGGTCCTAGCGGTTATTACACAATTGATCCCGACGGTTTCGGAGGACTGCCTCCTTTTTCAGTGTACTGTGATTTGCAGGGGAGATGGGTAACGGTGTCTTTTACCCACGACGTCTATGGCGTCGAGGTAGTCGACGGTTATGAAGAACCGGGGTCATTTATTCGAGACGTCACTTACTCACACTCACTGGCACAAATGGCCGCGGCGATATCCGTCTCCGAAAACTGCAGACAATTGATCAGTTACACATGCAGCAAATCAAGGATTATGGCAAATTACGGTGACTTAGTTGGGGGGCCGTATACTTGGTGGGTAGCCCGTGATGGGACCCGCCAGAACTATTGGGGTGGAGCTGACCCTTCGAGCTACTCATGCGGATGTTACAAAGCCATGACCTGCTACAAATTTCCAAAATTCAAATGTAACTGTGACGCGAACGATCTGGGGGAGAGAACTGATTATGGTTACTTGACAGATAAGAGTAAACTCCCTGTGACACAGCTAAGGTTTGGAGACACTGGGAGTAACGACAAGGATAAAGGGAAATACTCTTTAGGTCCATTACATTGTGTTGGGGAGATTTAGTAGATCGATTCACCAATGAGGCCTTGAAGAAACACCCTTTTTACCCTAACATCAGCGTGTAGATTCTCCTTTCTGTTCTTTCTACATTTCCTATGGGACTAACAAAGAGAATTTAGTTTATTCCAAGAGCTTTTCGAGCGTGCGATCATTTTCTTAAGTCTCATGAGCCTAATGTTTGATTTAGCAGTGAAACCTTTGAGATTTATTAGATGCTAGTCGCCCTGAAGGTTAAAGGGTTAATTAAAACTGGAACCAGATCGCTTTAAAACAAAACAGCT